GTGTACGATTCTATTTTCGAGTTAGTGGAATTTATGGATGTAGATGTCATTTTTTTTACTGATGAAGTAATCACGGCAGTAAAGTGAAGCGATTATCGAGATTATTTATACGTATAATCTCTTAATATTATTTACATGTATAATCTCTTAATATTTGGTTTGATAGATTCTGTGAGCAATACAATTGAAAGTTGATAAGAAATGAATTAAAATTTAAATGGTAGCTGAATTGTTATTTTCGGTATACAAATATTACAACTACACAATTTCTATGACATATTTTTCACTCTCTTTTAAAAGCACAAACCATACTACTAAATCAAGATGATCACATAGTCAAACATGAGTAGGCATAATAATTAAAAAATTATAAAATAATGCAATAGTATTTACACTTCAGACTTAGATCTATTTTAACTATGATTGATGATTATTCTACTCGTTCTAGAATAATAATAAAAAAAATATCAACTGAATGTTAAGGAGTTGTTGTAGCTACCTCTATTATAACTCATAGTTTAAAATATAAGTAGTCATACCTGCTGACAGTAGAAAATAAAGAGAAAAATCCCAAAGATGGCTACCAGTGAAACCTCGCACAATATCAAAAGGTGAAAATCAGAATAAAGTTAAAAAGGCAAATTGAACCAAAAAATAGAAAAAATATTGAACATAGATTTCAGAATTTGGAAAACCCGACATGAGAAAATCAAAGAAAATATACAACTTCATCAGTTCTAAGTTGATTATGGTCATAGTCATACAAACTATCGACTCCCCGTTCTGTTGTACTAAATCCAGGTCTCGAAGATTCACCATAACAACAGTCGACAATTACAATAAAATGAGTCGTCGTCATTATTAATAAACATGAATAGCGTTTCAGCAATGAGGTGTCAAGACAGCTCATGCAGTAAATTCATGTTAACATAGGTAACTTAATGGCTAAAATCTACAAACTTACCTCTTTCAAGTTCAAAACCATCCCAATTTGGAACATTATCCGTGGAACCTAAACATTCAGGGCCAACTAATTGGTGTCC